GGGGGGTGTGCATTCAGGGCTGACCACAGCTGCAGACCTGGGAGGTCCTGCCACATTGTTCTGGAGGACATAATGGGGGGAGAGCAGGGGACACCGGGCCCAGAGGCCGGTACACTACCCACCGCCGGCCGGGGCGCTGAATGAGATGTCAGATAGGGGGCGTGGCACTCCAGCAGGGGCTCACACAAAGACACACACACGCACACCCACGTTTGTATTCGTCTTCATCTTTGTGGGGACCGCAAAAAAAATACGAGACTTTTGGCATTTTTGTAAAATTGAGGTAATCCTTGTGGGGATCAAAAATTATTTGGATTGCAGGAAGAAACTGGCATGAGACAGAGAGAGCATGCAAACTGCACGCACGCAGCGCGGAGGTGGTACCCGAACCCCTGACCCAACCTCTACCAGCACCATGACCCCCTGAGCCACTGAGCTGAGCAGGGATTCAGAATAAATAAAGCAGCCAGACTGCCGCTGGCGGGTCCCTCTGACACAGGGCAGGTTTGGCGGGTTTGGTGAAACTCACCACGGTGCAGAAAGCGACCTGAAGAGAGCAGGCTAATGCACCATTCCTGCTCCATTTTCAGCAGCAAAGGGTTTCGAAATGCTTTATATCATGCATGTGAATTTTTGAAAGTCACACACTTTCTGTTGAAATGAAATGATGCTTTATTTGCCATTTGCTTAAAGTACATTGGAATTGTCTGGCTTTCACACATCCCATGGATACAGGTGAGAGCGAAGCTCAGGGTCCGAGCACGGGGTCAGCCGCCCCCCCCCCCCCCAGCGCGTCCCCTCCAGGGCACCCCCTGCTTGCTCTCTCTTCTTCTGGGCTGATGCTGGATAAGCAGTAAATGGGTGATGTTACATGTACCCTTCAAGATGCATTTGGCCCAATTACAGCCTGGAAATAACCGGATGAGGCAGACTTTCCTTTCAGAGTCGTGTGTGAGATCATTTTTGGATTTTATCATTCCTCAGGTTCATGATGGTGGCTCCTCTGGGGTGACCCTGTGTGCTCGGTGGGGGTGGGGGTGGGGGGTGGGGGGACGCTGCAAGTCTCTGCCTGCGCCTCTTCCAGGCTCCCCAGGAATGAAGTTCAGGTGTCAGGAGTTCAACTGATTTATAACGGCAAGCACGGTATAATTAAGCAGTCAGTGTGGCATGGGGGGGGGGGGATCAGTGGGTCAGGCTTGGCTGGGAAAGACGAATGGCCTCGCTGGCAATGATGACCTTTCCCGCGATGGCATCGCTTCCAATCACCGCCGGGGGGGATGCAAACGAGCTCGGGGAGGCTTCCGCCGGCTCCGCTTCTCGCCCCACTCCACTT